CCCCTGGGTCACCGAGCCTTTTCCCCTGGGTCACCGAGCCTTTTCCCCTGGGTCACCGAGCCTTTTCCCCTGGGGTCACCGAGGCTTTTCCCCTGGGGTCACCGCGGCTTTTCCTGGGGTCACCGAGGCTTTTCCCCTGGGGTCACCGAGGCTTTTCCCCTGGGTCACCGAGGTTTTTCCCCTGGGGTCACCGAGGCTTTTCCCCTGGGGTCACGAGGCTTTTTCCCCTGGGGTCACCGAGGCTTTTCCCCTGGGGTCACCGCTTTTCCCCTGGGGTCACACTGAGGCTTTTCCCCTGGGGTCACCGAGGCTTTTTCCCCTGGGGTCACGAGGCTTTTCCCCTGGGGTCACTGAGGCCTTTTCCCTGGGGTCAGGCTTTTCCCCTGGGGTCACCGAGGCTTTTCCCTGGGGTCACCGAGGCTTTTTCCCCTGGGGTCACCGAGGACCTGGGGGGTGGGTCACCGAGCCTTTTCCCTGGGTCACCTTTTCCCCTGGGGTCACCGAGGCTTTTCCCTGGGGTCACTGAGGCTTTTCCCTGGGGTCACCGAGGCTTTTCCCCTGGGGTCACGAAGCCTTTTCCCTGGGGTCACTGGGCTTTCCTGGGGTCACCGAGCCTTTTTCCCCTGGGGTCACTGAGGCCTTTTCCCCTGGGGTCACCGAGGCTTTTCCCTGGGTCACCGAGGCTTTTCCCTGGGGTCACGAGGCTTTTCCCTGGGGTCACCGAGGCCTTTTCCCCCTGGGGTCACCGAGGCTTTTCCCCTGGGTCACCGAGGCTTTTCCCCCTGGGGTCACTGAGCTTTTCCCCTTGGGTCACCGAGCTTTTCCCCTGGGTCACCGAGCTTTTCCCTGGGGTCCTGAGGCTTTTCCCTGGGGTCACCGAGGCTTTTCCCCTGGGAGGCTTTTCCCCTGGGGTCATGAGGCTTTTCCCCTGGGGTCACCGAGCCTTTTTCCCCTGGGGTCACCGGCTTTTCCCTGGGGCCTTTTCCCTGGGGTCACTGAGGCTTTTCCCCTGGGGTCACCGAGGCTTTTCCCCTGGGGTCACCGGGCTTTTCCCCTGGGTCACTGAGCTTTTCCCCTTGGGTCACCGAGCTTTTCCCCTGGGGTCACGAGGCTTTTCCCTGGGTCACCGAGCCTTTTCCCCTGGGTCACCGAGCTTTCCCCTGGGGTCTTTTCCCTGGGGTCACGAGGCTTTTCCCCTGGGTCACCGAGCTTTTCCCCTGGTCACTCTTTTCCCTGGGGTCCACAGCTTTTCCCTGGGGTCCGACTGGGTCCGAGCCTTTTCCCCTGGGTCACTGAGGCTTTTCCCCTGGGGTCACCGAGGCTTTTCCCTGGTCCGAGGCTTTCCCCTGGGGTCACTTTTTCCCCTGGGGTCACCGAGAGCCTTTTCCCCTGGGGTCACGAGCTTTTCCCCTGGGGTCACGAGCTTTTCCCCTGGGGTCACTCACCCCCCTGGGGTCACCGAGTTTTCCCCTGGGGTCACCGAGCTTTTCCCCTGGGGGTCACTGGAGCTTTTCCCCCTGGGGTCACCGAGCTTTTCCCCTGGGGGTCACGGCTTTTCCCCTGGGGTCCGAGCCTTTCCCTGGGGTCACCTGAGCCTTTTCCCCTTGGGTCCCGCGAGCCTTTTCCCTGGGTGTCACTACGAGGCTTTTCCCCTGGGGCACTGAGGCTTTTCCCCTGGGGTCACTTTATTTTTCCCCCTGGGTCACACGGAGCCTTTTCCCCTGGGTCACTGAGGCTTTTCCCCTGGGGTCACTGGGAGGCTTTTCCCCTGGGGTCACGACCGGGTCACGGAGCCCTGGCGTTTCCCTGGGGTCACCGGAGCCTTTCCCTGGGGTCACCGAGCCTGTTTCCCCTGGGTCACACTTTTCCCCTGGGGTCCGGGGGCGCCTTTTCCCTGGGGTCACTGAGGCCTTTTCCCCTGGGGTCACGAGCCTTTTCCCCTGGGGTCCCCTGGGGTCACCGAGCCTTTTTCCCTGGGGTCACCGAGGCTTTCCCCTGGGGTCGACCTGGGGAGGCTTTTCCCCTGGGGTCACTGAGCATTTCCCTTGGGTCACCGAGCCTTTTCCCCTGGGGTCACTGACCTTTTCCCCCTGGGGTCAGTGAGCCTTTTCCCCTGGGGTCACCGAGCCTTTTCCCTGGGCCGAGCCTTTTTCCCCCTGGGGTCACCGAGCCTTTTCCTGGGTCTGAGGCTTTTCCCCGGGGGTCACGGAGCCTTTTCCCGGGGTCACCTGAGGCCTTTTCCCCTGGGGTCACCGAGAGCTTTTCCCCGGTCACTGAGCCTTTTCCCTGGGTCACCGAGGCCTTTTCCCCTGGGGTCACCGAGCCTTTTCCCCTCGGGTCACCGGGCGGCTGGGGTCACGGACGCTTTTCCCCTGGGGTCACTGGGGAGGCTTGTCCCTGGGGTGTCCACGGAGGCTTTTGCCCCCTGGGGTTCACTTTTGCCGCCTGGGTCACCGGGAGCCTTTTCCCCTGGGGGCTGGCGCTGAGGCTTTTCCACGCCATGGGGTCACTGACGGGCTTGGTCCCCTGGGGTCACTTGGAGCCTTTTTTCCCCTGGGGGTGCGACGCGGCGTTTCCCCTGGGGTTCACCGAGCCTTTTCCCGGGGTCACCTGGAGCCTTCTTCCTGGTACTTTCCCCTGGGGTCCACCCGGAGCCTTTCCCTGGGGTCAACGTGGGAAGGCTTGGTTCCCTGGGGGGTCGGACGAGGCTTTTCCCTGGGTCACTGAGGCTGTTTCCCCTGGGGTACTCGAGCTTTCCCCCTGGGGTCCACTTTTCCCGCTGGGGTCAACCGACCTTTTCCCCTGGGTCACTGAGGCTTTTCCCCTGGGGTTCACTGAGCCTTTCCTGGGGTCACTGAGGCTTTTCCCCTGGGGTCACCGCACCTTCCCACTGGGGATCCCGAGAGGCCTTTTCCCCTGGGGTCACCGGCCTTGTTCCCACTGGGGGCTCACCGAGAGGCCTTTCCCCTGGGGTCACGGAAGCCTTTTCCCCTGGGGTCATCATACCTAGCCTTTTCCCCTGGGGTCACCGAGCCTTTTCCCTGGTCACCGTGAGCCTATTTCCCTGGGGTCCATCCGAGGCTGTGTTCCCCGGGGTCACTCTAGCCTTGTTTCCCCTGGGTCACCAGAGCTTTTCCCGTGGGTCCGGAGGCCTTTCCCTGGGTCACCGAGGCTTTTCCCCGGGTGTCACCGTAGCCTTTTCCACCTGGGGTCACCTGAGCCTTTCACCCTGGGGGGTGAGGTTCCCCTGGGTCGACCCGAGCTTTTTCCCCTGGGGTCCACTCTAGCCTTTTCCGCTGGGATCAGCCTAGCCTTTTCCCTGCTGGGGTCACCGTTAGCCTTTTCCCTGGGTACCTAGCCTTTTCCCCCTGGGTCACCTAGCTTTTCCCCCTGGGGTCACCTAGCCTTTTCCCCCTGGGGTGCACCGGAGGCTGTTTCCCCTGGGGTCACCGACCTTTCCCCTGGGGTCCACTGAGCCTTTTTCCCCTGGGGTGCAACCGGGGAAGCCTTTTTTCCTCCTGGGTCAACTTGGAGCTTTTCCCCTGGGGGTGGCACCGAGCTCTTTTCCCGGAGGACCTTTTTCCCTCGTGGGGATCACCGGCAGGCTTTTAACCCCAAGCTGGGGTCACCGGGCCTTTTGCCTGGGTGTCACCGAGGCTTTTCGTCCTGGGGTCAACCGAGCCTTTTCCCTCCTGGGGGTCACCGAGGCTTTTCCCTACTGGGGTCACCCGGAGCTTTTCACCTGGGGATCACCGGAGGCTTTTTCCCCTGGGGTCACCGAGCTTTTCCCCTGGGGTCACCAGGCTTTTCCCCTGGAGGTCACGCCCGGGGTCGAGCTGAGGCTTTTTCCAACTGGGGGTCAATCAGTAGCCTTCGTTTCCCCCCTGGGTCACCCGGAGCCTTTTCACGCTGGGGTCCCAGAGGTATTTCCGCCCTGGGGTCAACCCCGGGGTGTCACTGAGGCGCTTTTCCCACTGGGTCACCGAGGCCTTTTCCCCCCTGGGGTCACTCCGAGGCCTTTTTCCTGGGGTCACCGAGGTTTTCCCCGGGGGTCACGGGGCTTCCCCTGGGGTCACCGGGGGCTTTCCCCTGGGGTCACCGAGGCTTTTCCCCTGGGGTCACTGAGGCTTTTCCCCTGGGGTCACCGGGGCTTTTCCCCTGGGGTCACCGAGGCTTTTCCCCTGGGGTTTCAACCTCACTGAGATCTCATACTAGGTCGGGTTCGGAATCTGCAGTGTTCACGGGATACATTTTGGTTGTTATTATTAAATATATACTTTGATTAGGTTGGTATGATCGGGGGTTATTATTAGTAAGACAAAAATATATACTCTGATGAGGTTGGTTGATTGGGGTTATTATTAGTGGGACAAAAATATATACTTTGATGATGTTAGTATGATTGGGGTATTATTAGTAAGACAAAAATATATACTTTGATGAGGTTGGTTAAAAAGAATAATAATTTTGGACACATTGATAATAATTCCAACTTGGTAATATGTGGTTTGCGACTAAGTATAATTATATATTCATATTTTTTTATCTAATTGAAGTAAATGGAGTAATATATTTAGTCTCTTTTTTTCTTTCTTTTTCTTTTGTTTCAGAACCCACTGAAGTACCTGTTTCTTACACACAAAAAAGAATATGAATAATATCCTCTAACCCTCTCTATCTCCCTCCTTTACTCTCTCCTCTCCTTCATTTCTTCCCTCTTCCTTCTTCCATCTCCCTTTATTCCTTCCTCCACTCTCCCACCCTCTCCCAGTCCTTCCCTTCTTTCGAGGAAGGAAAATCGGGGAATAAACCCAGGAGGAGCAGAGGGAAGAAAGTCCAGGGATCCCACAGTCGTCATTCGCCAATATGAATTATGAAAATGTTCTTTGCAGGGAATTTGCATAGTGGAATCTATGCGCAAATTCTGAAGAAAAAATATGGGCGTCTTATTTATGAATAAATATAAATAAATAGATAAATATATGCACACACACAGACACACACAAACACACATATCTCTATCTCTATCTATATCTATCTATATACACATAAACATATATATACATGTGTGTGTGTGTGTACATATATATCTGCGCATGTGTGTGTGTGTGTGTACATATATATCTGCGCATGTGTGTGTGTGTGTGTGTGTACATATATATCTGCGCATGTTGTGTGTGTGTGTACAATATATCTGCGCATGTGTGGTGTGTGTGTACATATATATCTGCGTATGTGTGTGTGTGTCTGTACGCACGCGTGTATGTTATTGAATCCTCATGCATGACCTACAGATACCGCCCCAATCGTGCAGTGTGCAATGGCTTGTTGCTTACGGTCTCCCTGCATGACTCAACCCCACAAACCAGGCATGTTATTAAGACAACATAAAAGGCATATATATGTTCAGGTCGAACGAGGGGAGAAGCGGAACAATTTGCATATGTACACACTCACATATGCTCCCCTTTCGACGCACACAGCCACGCGTACACTGACATGTGTACAGGGAGGTTGAGGTAAAATCTAATTCATGTACGTGTGGGTTCAAAAGATACCGACATGAGATTTTATACACAGATTTCGCAGAGCAAAAAAAAAAAAAAAAAAAAAAAAAAAAAAAAAAAAAAAAAAAAGAATGAATGAGTGAATAAGCAATAAAGGAGGAAATAGACAATAAAGGATAACAGGAAGAGGGGAGCAAGGTAAGCAAGCAAGATGTCAAGATCACTTTCTGCCAGACTGCTTCGGGATCTTACTGAGCACATAGCCATTAAGAACTCAATTAAAATGAAGATCCTCGTAACTCTCCTTATTCTCCGTCTTCTCCTTCTTCCTTTCTTCGTATCCTCTCTTTCTGTCTGTCTGTTTTCTGTCTGTCTCTTTTCCTGAATCCTATAGTGTCATTCTTTTTTTTGTGTTTTTTTCATTTTTTTTCACGTTTTCTTCCTCTTCTTATTCTTTCAATTCTCTTTCTTCATTCCTGCTATTCTAGTTGTCGTTTTGTTTTTCTCCTTCTATCTTTCCGTTTTCACTTACACTTTCTTTCTTCTCTCTTGTCAGTTCTCTTATTTGTCTCTCTCCTCCCTTTGCTTTCTCTCCTCTCACCTCTCTCCTCCATTTCTCACATCTTTCTCCCTCTTCTTCATTCTCCATACATCTCGCAATCCCTCTTTCCTCCTCCTTCAACTCGACTTCTCCCTCTTTCTCTCTCCCTCACCTCCCTTGCCCATTTCTAAAAAAAAAAAAAAAAAAAAAAAAAAAAAAAAAAAAAAAAAAAAAAACCCATCTGGCAACATCCAGCTGGGGATTGCCTCTGCATTCTCTTCAATTTACTCGAACCATCTGTCTGTCCATTATAGAACATGATACTGTGATTTATTTTTCTCTATTTTTGGTGTTTTCGCGATATATCATCTATGTTTAACATCATGCCAACACTCCTATAAATGTAAGAGAATGTTGTTATTGTTATTATTATCATCATATCATGTCATGATATCATCATCATTCATCATCATTCATTATCATCATCATCATCATCATCATTCATCATCATCATCATCATCATCATCATCATCATCTCATCATCATCATCATCATCATCGTCATCATCATCATCATCATCATCATCATCATCATCATCATATCATCATCATCATCACTCATCATCATCATCATCATCATCATCATCATCATCATCGTCATCATCATCATCATCATCATCATCATTATTATTATTATTATTTGTATTATTGGTCTGTTTCACATGTCAACACTCCTGTGAGTGCGTGAGAATATTGTTATTATTATTATTAATATTATCATTATCATCATCATCATCATTATTATTATTATTATTTTTGTATTATTTTTTCTTTTTACTGTGGATTTTTCTCTCCTTTTGGTGCTCTAAGGATATTTTTGTCTGTTTACTAACATGTAAGTACCCTAAATGTCTGAGAATATTACTTTAGGGTTTTGGTAATATTGGTAGACTTTTCTCTCTTTTTTTTGGACTTTGACGATATTGTATGAAATTCATGACGAAAAGAAGGACAAGAAGCGAAGGAAGGACAAGAAAACACACGAATATGACATATTCGTGTTTTTTCGTGTCCTTCCCTCGTTGTCACGATCTTGTATCTACTGTCACTATCGTTTGGATATTCGTCTAAATGTCCGAAAATGTGATTTTTAATGTTTTTGTAATATTGGTCTTTTTTTTTTATTATACTTCCAGGTCCTTCTGTGTCTTCTCGTTCCTCTAATTATAATTTCATGAATTTGATGCTAATTCGTACACAAATACATCTAGTAATTTGGTACTATTAGATAATTAGTTTATTAGACACAATTATAAACATTCATTAAACAGACTCAAACAAGGGATCCAAAATAAGAGAGATTCATAAAGATCTAACACCTTCGAATAGAATCTACATCGGAGTCGACTATCAGAAATAAAATCAAAACTCTAAATCAAATGAGAGGTATCGGATCCCCTTCAGAATGAGTTCCAATCCATCTTACACGCTGATATTTGTCTGACGATTCGGGTCCGGAATTTATAGTCAGCTGGGGAGCCGTGATGTTGAACTTCAAACACTATATTTCAAAGGTGTTTGGTGATGCTATATATGGGGAGTGATAAATGCATAATGAAGAAATGGAAAGGCAATTATTTCTAACTCTAAATGTGTAAATATCTGTGCGTTGTGCTTGAAAGTACCGGCTGCTTCATAAGGGTGAAAGTCGATAAGTATATTGCATTGGGCCCAACTAAGTGCATGTCGACTGTCGTGTGTGACTCTCTCTCTCTCTCTCTCTCCTCTCTCTCTCTCTCTCTCTCTCTCTCTCTCTCTCTCTATCTATCTATCTATCTATCTATCTCTATCTTTCTTCTTTCTTTCTCTCTCTCTCTCTCTCTTCTCTCTCCTCTCTCCTCTCTCTCTCTCTCTCTCTCTCTCTCTCTCTCTCTCTCTCTCTCTCTCTCTCTTTCATGTGTTCATTTTAGAAGATATGCATATTTTTGAATCAAGTAGTAAAGTTGTTTTGTAAAAAAGAGATAAAAATGAGTGTCAGTTAAAAAGAATAGATAGATAAATAAATAGATAAATAAAAAAGTAACAGGTATATAGGAATAGGTAACATAGGAATATCCAAGCAGGAAATGTGGATTTAGTGCAAGATCAAAAATGTTTACCCAAGTAATTGAAGCTGATTGAGAGAAGAGAGAGAGAGAAAAGAAGGAGAAATGTTGACGAAAGAGAAACAGGGAGAAAAGAGGGAGAAATGTTGACGGAAGAGAAACAGGGAGAAAAGAGGGAGAAATGTTGACGGAAGAGAAACAGGGAGAAGGGAGGGAGAAATGTTGGCGGAAGAGAAGCAGGGAGAAAAGAGAGAGAATGTTGACGAAAGAGAAACAGGGAGAAAAGAGGGAGAAATTTTGACGAAAGAGAAAGAGGGAGAAAAGAGGAAGAAATGTTGACGAAGAGAAACAGGGAGAAAAGAGGAGAAATGTTGACGAAAGAGAAACAGGGAGAAAAGAGGGAGAAATGTTGACGGAAGAGAAAAAGGGAGAAAAGAGGGAGAAATGTTGACGGGAGAAAAGGGAGAAAAAGAGGAGAATGTTACGGAAGAGAACAGGGAGAAAAGAGGGAGAAAGAGAAGAGGAGAAACAGGGGAAATGTTGAAAGGGAGAGAAAGAGAAGAAATGTTGAGAAGAGAACAGGGAGAAAAGAGGGAGAAATGTTGACGAAGAGAAAGAGAAAAGAGGAAGAATGTTGACGAAAGAGAAACAGGGAGAAAAGAGGGAGAAATGTTGAAACAGGAGGGAGAAAGAGGGAGAAATGTTGACGGAAGAGAAACAGGGAGAAAAGAGGGAGAAATGTTGACGAAAGAGAAAACAGGGAGAAAAGAGGAGAAATGTTGACGAAAGAGAAACAGGGAGAAAAGAGGGAGAAATGTTGAGAAGAGAAACAGGGAGAAAAGAGGGAGAAATGTTGACGAAAGAGAAACAGGGAGAAAAGAGGAAGAAATGTTGACGGAAGAGAAACAGGGAGAAAAGAGGAAGAAATGTTGAAAAGAAACAGGGAGAAAAGAGGGAGAATGTTGACGAAAGAGAAACAGGGAGAAAAGAGGGAGAAAAACAGGGAGAAAAGAGGGAGAAATGTTGAAAAGAGGAAGAAATGTTGAAGAG